CCCCAAACCACAAAAGCACCAGCACCTCTGAAAATCCAGAAGCATCGGCACTTCCAAAACTTCCAGTACCTCCAAAAATCCCAAAAGCCATGGCACCTCTGAAAATCCTCAAACCCCCCAAAATCCCAGCACCTCCAAAAATCCCCAAACCACAAAAGCACCAGCACCTCTGAAAATCAAAAAAGCCCTCGCTCCTCAGAAAATACCAAATTCCAAGGCGCCTCCCAAAATCCTGAAAATCCCCAAAGCCCCGGCAATTCTGAAAATCCCAAAAGCTCCAGCACCACCCAAAATCCCAAATCCTCAAAACGCACGAAACTTCTGAAAACCCCCAAAGTCCCAGCACCACTAAAAATCCCAGGTATCTCTGGAAATCCCAAAACACAAAAATCCCTGACACCGGTGAAAATTCTGAAAATCCCCACAAAACCAGCACCTTCAAAAATCTTTACAAATCCCAAAATACCCAATGTCTCTGAAAACCCCAAAATCTCCAACACATCTGAAAATCCCCAAATCCCCGGCACCTCCAAAAACACCCTAAACCCCAACACTTCAAAAAAACTCTAAAGCCCGAGCATATCCAAAAAAACGCAAAAGCTCCACACCTCCAAAAACCCCGAAAGCCCTGGAATCTGAGCAAATCCTGAAAATCCCAAAAGGCCCGGCACCTCAGGAAATCCCAAAAGCCTCATGTGATGGGGTGTTCACCCCACACAAGAGTGTAAGGGACTAATGGAGGTCTTGTGGACCTGCTACACCCTATCACAGAAAGGAGCAGTGGAGTGGAGGTGAGTCCGCCAAGCAGCCTAGTGAGTCTGTGCAGGAAGCAGCCAATTGGGGAAGAGGCTGCACGGAGCAGCCAATCAGGGCCCAGCAGGCTAATACAAAAGAAGCTGCAGGGTTAGTAGCTGTGTATTTGGTAACTTGGTGGGTAAACCTCTTAGAAAAAGACAGTCATCTCACAATCAGAAGAAGTTCAGAAATATTAGGAAAGGATAAAGGCCTTAAAATTCCAAATAAAGAATTTGTGGTGTATTATTTGGTGGTTCTTTC